GGAGCCTTCTAGAAGGTTCTTTCAGTCCCACCACTTCCCGCAGTGACGTGGCAGTTGTCAGTCTGTTTGCAGAGCCCCACCCCTCACCCAGTGGCTGCAGCTTCCAGAACCTCGTGCCCACTTGGACCAGGCCTGCAGCTGCTCTGTAGACAAGGGTTAGGTCGGAGGCTCCCTGCAGTGCATTGCACTGACTGCTCTGTGCAAATGAAAACTGGCCTGTTAGCTGGCCCCTGATATGTTTCTTGGGTATTACGGGTTCTAAGGTTCCTGTAAATGTGCCCCAGATTCTCATCCAGTGCCATCTCACTGCATGGGGACCACAGGCAGAGCCATGCTTTGCCAATTCGTGATTTCCATCAGGCAAAAGAACTCTCAGCTGCTTGGTAACATTGCTACACAGACCATAGTAGCCTTGACCTTCCAGCGATCCTCCTGCCTCAGCCTCAGAGTGCTTGGGATTACAAGCATGGACCGCTGTGAGGAGATCACAAGTAATTTTGTATGGCTAAGATTATAATTATAGTTGCAACATGTAGTCTCTTTCAGAAGAAGTCTATCCCAGTATAATTCAGAAGAGGACTACAGCTTTTATTTGGCACAGATAATTATACTGATTTCTCCACACTAGGGCGATAGTCAGAAAGCTGCTGTGTCCTTAGGCTAGGAATTCCATCAATATGTCCATGGCATTAAAACTGCCACTACACTTAGCAACAGGGCCACCCACCTTCCAGAGAAAACAGAACACACACACACACACACACACACACACACACACACACACTACATTAATCCCAAAATAAGACTCTCTCCATCCGCTTTCAAAGACATCTTGCCAAAGGAGGAAAAGTGTGAAAATGGAAAATATTTTTCCATCTGATATTTTTCCAGTAATTATCCAATCAACTACAGTTTTAATGGGGTAAAGCAACATTATGTCTTTATCAAACATTGTGTGTCTAATTTTGTGGAACACATCTTTTCGTATGAGTTTCCAGACCCAAGAAGAGTTGAGGGTCTTTTTTGTAGTTCTTGATTCCTAAAAATACTACAATTAGAGGTCCCATTCAAGCCAGCTATCTCTATCCTGGGTATTTAGCTAGAAAAACTGAAAACATACAGCAGCAATATGTGAGCAACACAATTTGTAACGGCTAAATCTTGGAAACAACCCAAATACCCACCAACCACTAAATGGATAAAAAAGATATAGTATTTTTATACAATGGAGTACCACTCAGCTACAAAGAAAGATAAACTGGAGACTTTTATAGGTTAATGGATGCAACTTGAGACTATACTCATAAGTGAAAGAAATCAGACTCACATGTGTAAACATCGTATTGTCTCCTTAGTGTAAAAAACTGAAAGAGTAAATAAGATCCAAAACACATGATAGATATTGTGAAAGGGAAAGAGATTGCTCAAAAGGAAAGAACAATTGGGATGCGGGAAAGGAAAAAAAGAAAGAGGAAAAGTTTGCATATATATACGAGATAGATAACGATACTATTAATCTCTGTTAGTTCATCAAAAAGATTGGTTTGTGTGTTCATTGCTTGATCATGTTTTCATGCTTATATCTTGAAATCTCAACAAGTACTTTGATGATACCAGTACGCAATATATTAACCATCCTTAATCTCCTGTTATTTTGTTTTGAAATTCTGTATCATTGCTTTTATTTTTGTATAAAAATATATGAATAATTGGCCCCAAATCTGTGAAGTGTTCAAATCTAATGCCCACTATGAGAGATATTACCCTGATTTGCTTATTGACTACTTACTTGAGTAAGTATAAAACATACAGGCTAGCCAGGCATGGTGGCATACACCAGTAATCTCTACAGGAAAGTTGTAAATTCAAGCCCAACCTAGGCAACTTAGCAACTTAGGTTCCATCTCAAAGTTTTTTTTAAAAATGGGATTTTGAAAGGTCTGGTATGTAGTTCATTGGCAAGGACCCAGGTTCATGGTCGACTACCACACAAAACAAACAACAAATCCCTAAATATTAAATACACAGTCACTTGCAAACAATTACTACAAAAATATTTTGTAAAAGAATACCATGTTAATGCCTCTTAATCCCATTTTAAGAACAATATTTATTCATAATACTTTGGACGTGCAGAATGAGAATATTATGCAGATTATTTCATTAGTTTCTGTCCCATAATGTGGTCTGTGTACTTGGCCTGCGTCGTGTATCTGCTGGACCGCACTAGTATAGATAAAATTCAGGCATTAAAAAGGAATTTGCCTATTTTTTTGAAGACAGGATGGCACTACATAGCCCAGGCTAACTCCAACACACGGTGGTCCTTTCCCCTCAGCCACCTGCCCCACACAGCAAGGGACACTTTCCAATCTAAATCCTAGAGCCCACAGAGCAAAGATCTCCAGTGGCCATGCAACATCACACGTACATAGATCTATTTGCTTATTTACTATTTCTGTTTTCCCTGAGCAGAAAATAAAATTGATAGAAATAAAATGTTAGGGGCTGTTAACCTGCAGTGTGTGAAATAGCTAATAACATGAAATATATCTGCCCTCCTCCACCATGGGCGCGGCTCAACATGAAGGTCACCTCAATGTTTGTTTCCTTTCTTTTCTCTTCTTTTTTTCTTTTCTTTTCTCTTCTTTCTTTTTGGAGGCAGTCTCCCTATATCGTTCAACCGGCCTTGAACTCACCAAGTAGCTTAGTTTGGCCTCGAACTTGTGGTGATCCTCCTGCCTCAGCCTTTGGAGCGCTGAGGTTACTATGTACACTACCTTACTGTGTCTGGCAGTGATTATTCTTTAAGAACTACAGCCTTTAACCAGGTGTGGTCACAGAGCTGAGGCAGGAGGATCCTGAGTCTGAGGCCAGCTTGGATTACACAGCAAGACAATGTCTTATAGAGCAAAGAAGACAGCAAACACAAGACCCTGGTGTGACCCATAACGCTGCAAAATTTAAAATAAAAAATAAAAATATATATTTATATTCTTGCTACTTCCTGTCCTAGAGGTGTAGGATGGAATCTTATTTTATTTTCCTGCTTCCAATTTAGCTATGAGCACTTCAGGAAACTGAACTTCTCAGTGTGATGGAAGCCTGGGATTCAATTCATAGTATTACGGGGGGTGGGAGGGCAGAAAGATTATACTTACCCTGTATTCTCTGCATTCGAGAGCGTAACTCTTTGTTTATAATAGGCACTCGATTATATTTCTTGGATGGAATTTAAGCACAAAACTATTACCTTAAACATTTTTTAAAATTGTTTTTGGTTCTGTATTTACTTTGAAACAAATGTCCCAGCCAAATTCATTCCCAATTTAGACAGAGTTTAAACCATGTAAACCAGCTATGTTTTGGTGTGCGTTAATTTACCCTGTCTATTTTTTTATGCATGCAATTTTGATGGTACAGTTTTAGGGATTGAATCCAGGCCCTTCATACTGAGCTATCTTTCCAGATCTTATCTTGAGACAGGAACTGCCCAGTCACTAAATTGTCCAGGGTAACTAAAATTTGAGATCCTCCTGCCTCTGCTTCCAGGGTGCTGGGATTATAGGAGTGCATGACCATGCCCAGCTATTCCATCCATTTAAATTTCCCCAGTGGGAAAGGAACCTTACTCATCTCCACTACTAGCATCTTTTTCAGGGCAGTGGGGTCTCCAGTCCTAGGACCCATTGACCAGTTTGTTTTCTCTTTCTGTCCAACAACATTCTGAGCAGTGACCTTTACATTCGACCACCAGGCATCACTCGAGGCGGTGTTAAGGGCTGAGCCAAGCCCTATGCTCCTCCCCACCCTACAAGTCCCCATCACCTCCAATAATCCCCAGGAGATTGTTCTTAGTATAAAGGGAAAAAATGACTCTAGAAAAGAATTTATTCTTTGTTTTCATTACATACTGAATGTAAGTGGGAAAAATATCACCTCATCAAGGTCTCCCTTTGTTAAAGTTGCTCTACGGGGGAAGAAAGTGCAGGATTTCTTCAAAGCTCTTCTCCACACACCCTTTTGGGGTAGAGAAAGTTGAAAACAAAACAGCAAACAAAGTGGTTTTGCCTCCACTCAGTCATTCAAATTGCATCTCATCACAACCACAAAACGGAGCAAGGTGACACAGGTAGGGCGCATCACCGGTCCAACCCTACACAGCCGTTCAGGACAGCATCTCCCCATGGGTCCCTTCCTGGACAAAAGCGAGAGCACACCAAGGTCTTTAGAGCTCAGCTACTGCCGGCCACATATGGGGCGGGCAATGGATCTCATTGTCCAGCGAGCTTCCACGTCAGCAAAAGAACAGATGCACAGTGTGACAAAGAAGAAAAAAGGTTGTTATTGGATTGTTAGAGCAGGTGTTGCATGAGAAAAAAACCTCCTGTGGAACTTTCTCAAGAGCATTTGGAAACAGCTGGAAGGCGGCCAGGAGCAGGGCCCTCCTGCAAGCCCGCAGACGTCCAGTTGTGGCTGGGATTAGGCCCCCGAACAGCTGAGTCAGGGGACACAGTGACACCCCCTCACTTCTTCAGCTCTTTACTCCTGGCTCGTCCTCCAACAAAAGCGCAGAGGTGCCCTCCCCTGACCACACACACACACACACACACACACACACACACACTGTCCAGCTGCCAGGTCCGGCTTTCAGAGAACACCACACAGTAGCCTCACAGGCCAGGGTGAGGGAAGTTACCATGGTTCTCTGGCTATCATTGTGCCCGGCACATCAGGGAATGGAAATAAGTGTGCACACGCTCTCAAAGGCCCTTTGGGAAGGAGCTGCGGGGCTGCACGGGACACAATGGCAGGCTTTGTTGCAGAGAAAGGCTTTGGTCTGGCAAGCAACCGCAGTCCTGCTGGACACAGGCTCTGTCTGCAAGGGAAGTATGGGAAAACCATGCGCGGGGTTTACCGAGCACCCTCGTTAGAAAAAGTAGGGCACTTAACATCATTAAAAGTCATCTTGGGCGTCAGGTAAGATCCTGCTGTTTTTATTTAATTGCTTCTATAGTCCTGCAACTTTAGAAGGTTGCTGCTCTTGGCCCTAAAATGTAGGATTCTTCCAGTAACAGGGGTCATTCTGAGTGGAGGAGAAGAGAGCAAATGCGCAACTTGGTAAAAGATAAAGGGAGAAAGGAGAGAAGGGAAATCAGGGAGCCAAGGAAACAACTGAAAAGCACGAAAAGCTTTCACAGAGCAAAGATCTTGTCTCTCGGGTGAGGGTGGAATCCCGCTGTCTTTTCCAGCCCTGTGCCTGGACATCCTCGAATCCAAAGCACAACTCCCTGCTGGCTTGCATCCTGCCTAGATATATAAATTATTTGGGGGAAAAATTCCTAGAGTCAAGGTTAACAGAAAACAGCTGGGAAGCGAACCATGAACCATATGTCATGATTTTCTCAAAGTACAGAGAGGTTTTTAAACTGTTTTTGAGAAGTCAGCATCCCAAACCAAGCAGGATAAATCAAGGACTTTATGTGATCTCTACACACAGGAAAATAAATATGATGAAGGCCATAACTGTGTCAGTCCAGCGAAGGGGAGGACCAAACATTAAAAACTCCTGTCTCTACTGTAAAAGCCCCACTCTAAATTATGTATGTAATTGTGACGACTCTCCACTTCTCTTATGCATAGCTGGCAGAGGGGTGATTTCATTTTAGAGCATATTTGTGTTTAGATTTCATAAACCAGAAAGTTCATAATATAAACTATCACGGTCTTGTATGAAGCATATAGTATCGGCACATTAGAGAAAAACTGGTTATACTAAAGGGCCTGAGAAGAAGAATATCACGGGCCTTAATAATCATCTAAACATTATTTTTTTATGTATATGCGTTCTCATTTTTTTCTTGTGTTGTTTAGCTGTGTAGTTTGCTTTCCTTATTTAATAGAGCAAAGATCTTCCAATATAGGGGCGCTGTGTTGAATACTCCCCCAGGGGCCTGAAAACCACACCTTCCTTTCTACAGAAGTTGTGTGTGTATATGCATAGGTGTGTGCACGCGTGTGTGCCTGTGTGGGGAGAGAGAGATAACTGAGGCTCCTCCCATGGCCCTGCCACAGAGAGGAGCTGTGGGCAAGTGGTGGCCAGGTTGGGGGAGGGGAGGGAGGCACCAGAAGGGCGGCAGCAGTGTTTGGAGTGAAATAATAGTGATGCTTGCACAACCACCCCGCGTACTAAAACCCGCCAAACCGGTCTTTCTTCTCTCATTTCATTTTATTCGATTCTGATTTTTGAGATAAAGTGTCACTTGACAGCCCAGGCTGCTTGGAACTCTGTTCATCCTGTCTCAGCCTCCTGGGTGCTGGGATCCTAGGTGTGTGCCACCGTGCCCTGCAAGGTAGGTAGAGTTTAATTCAGTTCACACCAACGCTGTGAGACAGTCAAGGTTCCCCTAACAAGCTCAGAGCCCAAAGCGGGAGGCATGTTAATGTGGAGAAAGGTGTCCAGGGGAATGTGTCAAAAACAAGAAAGGGACAATGCAGAAGCCCACCCTGTGCTCCTTCCACGCTGGAAAATAGAACTATCCACACAAGTGTCAAAAATTAGCAGGCTAAGTTTTTAAGAAAACAATTGTTCATTTTAATTAAGCAATTACTGGCTGATTGCTTAAAATAAAACTTCCAGTAATATGCTTTGAGGTTTTAATGACCATTCTGCAGAACAAAACACTCTGGCATTAGTGATGGTCCTCTAAGACTACTTTAAAAGATGTGGGAGAGAAAACCAAACACACAGATATGGTAATTTTATCTTTGGTGATAGCACTCCTTGCAAAAGGGTGCAGCAAGCCAAGGATGCTGGTGCACACTTGTAAACCCAGCACCTGGGGAACTGCACTAGAAGATTGCAAGCTTTAGTCTAGGGTTAAACTAGCAACATAGCAAGACCTATTTCAAAACTCAGATGTCTAAAAAGCACTGGAGATGCAACTCTTTGTGAGGGTCCTGGGTTCAGTTTCATATCGCAAAAGAAATAAATACATAGGCATGAGGAGAGAGGGTATAATGTAGACTACAGAAAGAACTTGGACTGCAGTGTATTGTCTGCTACCCAACACCTGTGCAAAGCTTTATCTTACTGATTATCTTACTGAATGGTCGCTGTTAGGTGTTTTACAACTTCAGCGTACACACCCTGAATGTTATCCAGTGTTAATTTGTATTTGCATATGAGTCAAATTTTGATAGCTTCTAATTGCAATTAATTTTCTCCTAACTTCCTTTATGGCAGAAGTTAATCTAACCCTATCTGCTTTCTCACGAGGTCTAATTGCTGTGTCTTCAATATATCATAATTTTAACAGTATCACGTTGCCAAATAAATTTGGGGAACAGGTATCTACATGCACAAGACTGTGTGTATTGGAAAATCAAGCAAATTTGGGCTCTAGTCCTCTTCTTCACTCTCCATCTGTGCAAGAGGAGAGAAAGTGATTAACTCCAATCAGCTGTAGTTGATTAAGCCTATCTCAAGCACTGACGGGACCGAGACAGAAAGTGGGATCTTGCCTGTGGGTACCGTACTGTACTTGCAATCCGGAATGCTACTGTTCTTTCTAACCACATTCCGACAGCAAATCAAGATGAGTATTTCCCAGAATCACAGAACTTTCCCGGCAGCAAGGGTGACGGAGATCATCTAAGTCCCATTGAATGGCAGAAGATCAGGGAAAGTTGTGTGTTGCAACTTAGAAAGCGATGATAAAATTACAATGAGGCTCTGGGGTAGATTGCATCACTGTTTTCCAATATTCACTCCCCTTTCCTATGAAAGGAAGTTAAGTGACTCCACCCATCACATAGCGAGTATGAGTGTTGCCTCTTTCCGAGGGAAGGATGTGCTCCTTCCAGCTGACACTAGCTTGGCTCCTGCTTTGTGCAACTGTAGGCATTTTTCAGGACTCTTCATCACCTTCCTCACCACCTGGGCACAGTTCCCAGCATCCCCAGCAGAAAGAAGAGCTTGACTTAGCTTTGCCATTGCATCCTCTGGGCATCCGGCACCAGGGCAGAAGTATCTAGGTATCAGAGCCTGCCAGAGGGACAGCTGGGAGTGCAAGAAGGAGCCAAGGAGTGAGACACACACTTGCAGGTCACCTTCCCTCCCTCTGACCCACATCCAGCCAGCCCCTGCCCATCATGCACCTCTGACTCATTAGTAGATGAACCCACCGATGAGGATAGCACCCCAGTGACCCCAAAAGCCCAACCTAGAGTGCATGAGGGTGAGGTGTGGGGGAATCACTGTTGATCTAACACAGGGACACTGCATTTGCCATGGCCAGTGAGAGGTCTCCACCATCATCATGCGGTCTGCTGGCCCCCAGCTCTGCCACCAGCTGTGCTGGAAGTGAGGCTCTTTCAACACGGCCCACAGAGGACCCTTGGGGCTAACATGCATCTGACTCAGCTTCTCCCAGGCCAAGAAAGTGAAAAACAAACTGCTTGTCCTTCCTCACTGTAAAGAACTGAGATTTTAAGTAGTTTTCATTACGAGACAAACCCTGATTAACTTAGGACACAGATTTAAATTTGCACTCTTAGGTGGCTGAATGGCACAAGAATTACAGGCCAGGTGGAGGGACACATACCTGTAATCCCAGCACCAGAGAAAGCTGCAACAGGAGGATGGAAAGTTCCGGGCCAGCTTGGGCCACGGAGCAGTTTCAAGGCCAGTCTGGGACAGCAAGATACTGCCTTAAACCCTCCTCCTCAAAATTATAATTTTGAGGTCTTTTGAGATTCAGTTCAATTTTTTAACCTTATTCTCAGAGTTCCTTCAGTGACTAGTGTGAATCTCTGCACGGTATGTATTACTGTGACCTTCAGTACACCCCCACAAGCAATCTACTTCACAAGGAAATGTGTACCCAGTTAGTTTTTCCTTAGTTACCCTTGTCTACAGGCCACTAAAAACCCAGGGGCCTCTCACTCCCGTGGTCCTCAGCGCCATGCTCTGCTTTTCCCAGCATGCACCAGGTGGGATGGGCTGGAGATTGTGCTAGGGCTGCTCTTTTTCATGGCTCTTGTTGGCCCAGCCCTTTTCAAGTGCCTGTTATCTTGGGTGAGATGACTGTTCGACAGCTCCGGGGAGTGGGGGGGTGTTCTTATCTTGGGCTCATGTAGACTCTTTCACACTTGGTCTTCCTAAGTAGCCTTTCAAATGTGATGGCAAATGCTGTCAACATCCCACACCTGTTTTGTATCCCGTCCAGGAGAAGTCTGTCCAGGAACTCACTTTGGTTTTTGGTTTTTGTTTTTGTTTTTGTTTTTGTTTTTTTGGTACCAGTGATCAAACGCACAACCTTGTGCTTGCCGGGCAGGTGCTTGTGCCGCTGAGCTAAATCCCTAACCCTGGAACTCACTTTTCACTCCTAAAACACTTCATTCCTGCTTCTCTTCCTCTTTCACCCATTTCCTTCCAAGTTTATTTTAAAAATTATTTCTTTACTGGTTTCTCCCATTACTCAAAATTAGAACCTCTATCTGACTACGCTTTCCTTTGACCTGTATACCTCCTTTCTACTACAAGCCGTAAATTTTTCTATGTCCAGTTCGATGTGTGCTCTGTATTAACTCCTAGGTGGTGCTGGGTCTTTCCACTGTAACAGACTAACTCAATCCTGAGGAGTATAGACATGGTGGTGCATGCATATGATCCCTGCTAGTCAGGAAGCTGAGGAGGAGGATGGTGAGCTCAAAACCAGCCTGAGCAACTCAGAAAGACCCTGTCTCAAAGTAGAAATTAAGGTGGGTGAGGCTGAAGTGCAACTGTATCACACTTGCCTAGCATGTGTAAGGGGTTCAATCTCCAATACCAACACAACACAACACACACACACACACATACACACACACACACACACACACACACACACACACACACACACACACAAATCCTGAATTCTGAGGGTGAGGCAAGAAAGGCGATGAGTGAAAAAGATCAAAGCCTGTTGTGTGCAAGCGTGACTCTGTCAAAGGAAAGCCCATTAGTCTGTATAAGCAATAAAAAAGATCGAAAATGAAAGAAAAGCTTAATACTGAGCCCTTCATATCCAGCACTCAGTCTGGGCTGAATTAGCCTAACAGTGAGTAACTATTCTGTCTGCTAGGGAGTTACTCCTCTTCATCAATTCAAAGTTAGAATTTGGGGTTTGGGAAGTTGGAAGATGCACAAATAATATAAAATGAAGAAATTGGGTTGAATATTCATAACTCACATACCACTTAATTAATAGATAAATGTTTATTCCAAACCATAGGAAAGCTTTGTCTGGTTTACCTGATTATATCTGAAGATAATTTAGTAATCTAAACGTTACCACACACCAAGATAAATTCCAAAGTGATCAAAGATTTAAATATGAAGAATGAAATAATAGAATGTTTAAAAGGAGACATAAGAGGAATCATGATACCTTATAAACTCAGAATTTAGAAACTACAAAAATATTTGATAAGTTTAACACTTAAAACATTTCTGAAACACAAATGACAAGTTAGCAAAGCAAAGTATAAATTGTAAAGTGCCTTTTCCTGGTTTATAACAAGCTCATAAAAATTGATACTATAAGTAACAGCAACCTGAAATGGGCGAAGCGTCGAACTATAAATGATTCCGAGATATACAAGGAGAGACCGACCTCAGTCATCATAACAGAAGTACAAAATAAAATCACATTGAAATACTATTTTTAATCTAGGATATCTTAGTTGCTTTTTGGTTGTTGGGGCAAAATCTCTGACATCCACACATTGAAAAAGGAAAGGTTTATTCTGCCTCACACAGTACGTGGAGGTTCCAGTCCATGGTCAGCCGGCTCTGAGGCAGGGCGACACAGCAGAGGGCATCACAGAGGAGAAATAGTCCAGGGCAGCGCAGGCAGGAGGCGGGCGGCAGCAGCAGCAGCAGCAGCAGCAAAAAGCCTCCTTCCCCTTTGACCCCAGCCTTCTGAGAGGGGGGAAGGGGGCTTCCCACACCCAGCATGGGGCCCCCATCACCCACATTCAGAATTACACTAAACCAATTGAGTTTCCACACACCCTTAATCCTAGAATCACCCATGATCAGACCACCTCTCAGAAGTCCCACACTATGAGTGTGTGAGCTTGGGGACCTCTAGATACAAGCCATAACAAATCTAAATAAAATAAATAGGGAGCTGTGTGGCTCAGTACACAGGAACTAGATTCAATCCCCAGCACAGCAAAAAGAAAAAAGAGACAGATGGGGGAAGCAGGAATAGGAAAATTTTTTCTGAATACCTTCTATCCTTTCTAATGTGTGGAGCATGGGATGGTAGTACCATTTTTAATTTGTTTTAATTTATTCATTTTAAAAAATTAATTTAGTTTGTAGTTCTGGAGGACTGAACCTAGGGCCTTGAGCAGCTAGATAAGTGCTCTACCCCTAAGCTACCTGCTCGGTCCTTTTTATTTCTTATTTGGATGCAAGGTCTTGTTAAGTAGCCCAGTCTGGCCTCAAACTTTCTATCCTCAAGTGTACAAAATAGATAGATTACAAGCATGTACCACCACACCCCTCATATTTAACATATTCATAGGAAAAAAGAAGTGGTTTAAGGGCTGAATTAGGAAGGCAGGTTTGTTTAGTTTTTCAAAGTCTGCTTAACATTAATCCAAGTAGACATCTTCCTTCTTTTTCCTTTGTAAAGTTTACTCTACAGAGATGGAGTGAGCTACACCAACACCGTGTCTCGCAGCAATATCCAGCCAAATTCCAGTGAAGATGTGCAAAGGCACTGGACACACATCAGTCCTGGATGCTAGAAGCAGCCTCTTAAATGTGCGAGAAGAACTTGGGAACGGAGAAATTTGAACTTTGGTGTTCCGATACATTTCCTACCAAGAGATAATATTTGGCATTTAATGTTGTGACAAAAGCCTTAGTGGTTAGATAATCTGTTTCCAAATGTGTTGCTTCACGTGTGGCCAGAGAGGATGAGGATGGTGCTGAGTTTCTTTAGAAATCATTATGGATCTGTTGCAAACCATAGTTTGTACTCCTGGGCAGAGATTCCTTCTGGTTAGGATTACTGTCCAGATACCTCACAGGAGGAGGCTATGTGGTGAAGGAGGACTATGTGGTTGGGGGCCATCAATGTTGACTGAATAAGCCAACAAATAGAATAAACAAACGGGTCGTATAAAATGAGCCTCTATGTGATGCAAGACAGAGTTATAGGCACAAAGACACATAGAAAGATTTGTAGAATGTAGTGCTTGCCCCAAAGAGCTTACCATGGCAAGTAAGACAGGGAGACAGTTAATCCTGATACAAAGCAGAATATAGTAAGTTGTCAAGGACCAGATTTACGAACCACAGAGAAATTACTTCCACCTGGACAGCTGCAATGTCATGAAAAATAAGAAGAGCAAAGTAAAAATTTGCAAACTTTCCTTCAAGACTGTGTAAGAGAGGCCTTCAGGTGACTTCAAGTGATTTCCAGGCACTAATGAAGACAAGAAAATGTCTCTGGCTCTATCAATGCCTGGATTAAAAAAAAATACTAAGGTTCTTAATGATCTTGGACATTATAAGCCTCAGATTCTCTAGAGTCATCCAAATTTTCAAATTTCTTTTTTCTTTTTTGTGTGCATCAGGGGTTGAACCCAGGGCCTTTGCATGCAGGTATATCTCTGGCCCTTTTTGATTTGGAGACAGGTTGTCACTAGATTGCCCGGGTTTTTCTCAAACTTTCAATCTCCTGAAAACACGATTTCAGAAGCTTCTAAGATGAGTACTACACTCTGGGTAGGAAGCGGAGGCAGGAGGATCACCATTTGAACTCAGCCTGTACGACTTAGAAATCTCACAAAACCCTGCTGTTTCAAAATTTTAAAAGTGCCAAGACTGTAATTCAGTGCAAAGGGCCTGGGTTCAGTCCTCGGTCCTGGAGACAAGCAAACGCAGCACACAGGGGCATCATCGACCTTGTGGAACTGTCTGCACGGCGCAGCAGCTTGACCAGAAACAGGAGGCCGCTGCTCCAACTCCTCTGCACAGATTTCTGTCTGACAGCAAAGTTTAGTGCGCTAGAAAAATAGCATTTGGTGAAGCCTTAGATACAAAAAACATTAAAAAGCTGGGCTTAGAGCCACATACCTGGAATCCCAGCACTTGGGAGGCTGAGGCAGGAGGATTGTCACCAGTTCGAGGCCAGCCTGAACTATATAGTAAGTTTAAGGCCACCATGGATTACATAGAGAGACCCTATCTGAAAAAAATAAAAACAGCAAAAAAAAAAAAACATTAAAATATTTCCTGGACCAAATACATGTTTTTACAACAGTGTGGCCAAGGCTGTCATAATGGCCTTAAAATTGATACCTGGAGAAGATTGCACAATTTGAAAACAGTCAGACACAGCTGGATTTGTGCAGCCAGCCCATTAAACTGACATGAGCCAGCTTCAGGATGTCTCTTTTTGTTTGATCAGAACAGAGCACATTAGCCATAATTACTGTATCGCTTAAGACACCTTCACAGTTTTCTATGATTCCGTGGTACACCTCTAAAACTGCACTACCCTGAGTTAGGAACTTACAGAGGAACAAAGGCTTTGGTTGAAGCATATAGCAAAAAGTCTAATCTGCGCTAATTTTAAAAATAAAATGTGTGGCGCTCTGATGACAGTGGCCTAATTTAGGAAAAGAGAATCATTCACACAGGCACCGCGGATGCTCATCTCCCAGTGCAACCCCTCCCACTCCTAGGCCCCAGAGAATGCTGGGAAGAGGGTCTTCCCCTCCCTGACCTCCCAGAGCTGGGCTCCATCCCGCTCTGTCCCCCCCCCCACAGGCCACAGTGTCTCCATGCTCCTCACCCTTCTTTCAGTGTCAAGCCATGCATTCTCAACTAAACCTTAAATTTTAAGAAACCACTTCCTTGTTTGGACTCTGGGCCTGATGATTTAGCTCAGCAGCATAAGGACCTGCCTGATAAACACAAGGTCCTGAGTTCAATTCCTGATACTCCCCCCACGAAAAAACTCTGGATTCATTCTAGACCCTGTTGAGAGTTTAATTTTCATGCACCAGCAAGTTTCCCAAAGTCCAGCACACGTTTGGCTCTGTAGGAAATGACAGAAACACTTAAGACTGCAAACCAGCAAGCCAGCAGCGCAGACCATGAGCATCATGGGGTGTTGTCTTCTTCCAAAGGAAACCTTGGCTTTCCAACAGTAGGTGGTAGGCATGCCTCAAACAGGAAAGGACTTGCATTATCACCCACGAATGATGGCACTGACGTGGCTCCTGCCCTCCAAGGAGGCAGGCGACAGGGACATACCTTCCTCTTAGGGGTGTGAGAAGTTCCTGGAGTGGAGCTCCAGCAGGTGCTGCAGCAAACTCTGAGGCTGTGCAAGGAACAGTCGCTTGCACGCCAAGCTCTAATGCTGCACAGAGAATCAGGCTGAACACTGATCCTTCCACATGCTCTCTGCCGTGAAAATAATGTTTCAATTGTGTGGCCCCAGAACACCCTTTCTCTTTAAGAAGGTCTAAGTCACTCAGAAGCGCTCTCTGTCCCTCCCCTTCTCGCTCCACCCCATTAATAGTACGGACTTGCAGCTACCTCAAAGTGTTGCTGGAAGGATTCATAAATATATTCAGTGCTTTGAAGATGAAAAGCGATCCATAAATGCTTAAGTATTACTATAAAGTTCAATAAATGGCTCAGAGCATGTGATCAAGACGGAATGCATGTGAATACTCAATCCACGGAGAGCCCAACAGCTAAAGAAGCTTCAGCTGAGACTCATAACCCACAGAGCACTGAGCCTTTAATATCACCGGATGTGTTAGAGCAATCCACGCACGTCTCTCATTTTACAGACAGAGGAGGAGCTCACATGCGGCCAGTCCAGGAGCATTCAGAGGGACAGACACCAGGGACCTGGAGCCTCCCCTCTTCAGGGCTAACTCTGCCCCCACGCTCACATCTATGTTCAAGGTGTCAGACTGGGCATGAAGAGGTGCGCCTGTACCCCAGCACTCAACAGGTAGAGGCAGGAGCATGGGGAGTTCCAGGCCAGCCTAGGCTACAGGAAGAGAGCTTGTCTCAAAACTAATTAAATAAATACTGTTAAAAAGCTATGTTGGTGGTGCATGCCTGTGATTCCAGCACTCTGAGAACTTCAGGCGGGAAGATGGAATGTTTGAGACCAGCCTGGGGAATTTACAGACTTTCTCAAAATAAAAAATACTAAAAGCCTAGGGTCTTCAATCTGCAGTACTGGAGAGAGAGACAGAGACAGAGACAGAGACAGAGACAGAAAACAGCGATGTCAAAACATATGGATAAAATATAGCATCCTACTTGAAATGTTGGCATTGCTACATCTGTAGGCATTGGAAAACATACTGATTTGAGACTTAGATTGGACATCTTCCTGTAAGGGTATCCTGACTTTTATCTATATAACCAAACTACTTCCCTGTGAGAAGCACAGATGTGGTGATCCCGATCTATGCTCAGGTGACAATGGTCCTCTGAAAAGGGAGGAGAGTTTTAGTGAGTGAGACAGGAACTGAGGAAATGTGTTTCACTGACAGCTTCTAAAACATCGTGGGCAGTTCACCAGAAAGAGTGAGTCACCACCAACACTGGTCCCTGAATGACCACTGCTCTTTGACAAATGTCACAGATGAGAGTTTCCAAGCTATTGTGGAATTGTACCTCTTTTTATTTATTTGCTAATTTACTTAAGTACAGGGAACTAAACCCAGGGCTCTCCCTCTAAGATACACCCCCAGTTTTGTTTGTTTGTTTTTGAGACAAGTTCTCACCAAATTGCCCAGAGTGGACTAGAAATTTTGATCCTCCTGTCTCAGCCTCCCGAGTTCTGGGATTACAGGTGTGCACCACCACCCCTGGCTTTGGAATTCCATGTTTTTAAGAGGAGATATGTCCCAGTATCTATTCAGGAGGTCATAACTCCAGCACCGTGTGGAATGTGGCTTTGCTCAGGGACACTGGTCACGAACTTACCCCAGTGTCACCCACTCAGTAGTCTGCTGGTTTGATGAGCCGGCATTAAGATCCTGATGCATAAACCAGCGAGTCTCTAACTCTGAGCGGACATTCTGCAGTCATGGGAGTGGGCTTGGTAACACAAAAATGCCTGGCTGTCTCCTTAAAATTTCTGATTCCTCAAGGCCAGGGTAAGCCAGACTAATTTTCATTTTGAACCCAGTCCCAGATGATCTTCATGATTTAGGGCTACATTTTGAGAACTGCCAGGGCTAAAGAAAAATCTAATGCATAGAAGTCAACAAATAGTTTCAGCCCTGGTCTTATTACTTACCTGAGTGGAGACCTGCCCACAGGACAAAGAGGTCGTAATCAACCAGGTTCAATTAGTCCCAAGGCCTGGAATTTATAAATTAGCAAAATAGAGTCTGAGCTACAAGTGTTTTCTCTAACTCACATAGTCTTATTTTTGTATTAGCTTTCTTGTCAAAATTTAGAATTCATGACATCATTTAAAATCCAAGTTCTGGCTTCTCTGGCTTCTAAATTAACAATCAGATATCCAGGACACTGAGCCCTGGAAGCCCTGTTTAAACAGGGAGCCAATTCAGAGAACCAAAGCTCCCCCAGACTGACTTTGTGTGTTCAGACTGCCTCCTGCTTTGGGCTTTGCGCTGCTGGGTGGATAGGAATTTCTGAAGACATCCTTTCTCAGGTTAGTATCTTAACTACGTGCCTGTTATTAAACAAACCCAGCACATCACTGCTTATTCTGTTTCATTGTGGTCTGTTTGAAAGCAGTCTACGAACAGAAAGAAGGACAGGGTGGAATCTCATGTGTGGTTGGCGTCCTGGGATTGGTCAGGCAAGTCTTCTATTTTGACTTCATTTTGGAGTGGCTAAGTGTTATGTTACTTAAGATTCATGCAGTTCAGAAGTGGGATTTGCTTCGCAGAGTTGACTCTTTCAAGTATTGATACTTTATTTTGAGGCAGAGTCTCACCATGTAGCCCTTGGTCGAACTCATGATCCTCCTGCCTCAGCCTCCTGGGTGCTGCTGGGAATGTAGGTGAGTAATGCTATGCTGGACCACGCCCAGTTCTATCATTTAGTTCATCTTAAATTCAATGAGTTTCCAGCGTTTGTACTACTTGATTTTATTTTACTACATAAACTTTACTTTTTACCCAGAATTCCTTATTTTTTAAACTTTAAAATTTAAACTATTTTGTAGACTTTAAGCAAATTACTCAAATCCATCTTGAAATGAGATAGACTAATACTAAGATAAGTAAGCACGTCTGTTCCTTGCATATTTGTGACATAATGAGCTATCTGAGAAGAAGTATTTAGGTTTGACCTTAGCTTGCTGTGATCCCAAGACCAACAGCATATGCACCCTTGGAAAGTTGTTTGGAAGGTAAGCGAGGTCCCCCCGGAGATGGATGGAGCTGAAATGTGGGGAGCTTGGCCAGATATCTGAGTTTTACCTCGCTTCACGAACAACTCCACCTTTACTCCAGAACTAGAAACAAAACCAAAGGCCTTCACACTGAGCTACATCCCCGGCCCTTTTTTTTTTTTTATGTTTTATTTTGAGGCAGAGTTTTGCTAAACTTCTCAACCAAGATTTGAGCATGCAGTCCTCCTGCCTCAGCTTCTCGAGTGCTGGTATTGCAAATGTGTGTCACCGTGCCTGGCTCCCTTGAGTCACTACGGTGCACTATAACACGGGAGGGTCACTACTTGAAAGTATTGAGTGAGTTCAGCAAGTAGCTGGCCAAGTATGGAGCTGAGGGACTCTGCAAGAGCACCGCATAAGTAATTCCGCGGCAGGACTTTTCTGGTCAGTGTTAGCCGGACCTGTCAGAGTCCTTCGCCTTTTGTGTTTCAGTGTTTGCTCCCGCTTGAGAACCATTTAAGGAGCTACAGTTCCTGCCAACAGAGGCAAAAGATGACCTTCTGTTGCCTCCTTCCTTCATTTCTTTTTTACTTTTCTCCTTCCAGGTCAGTCATGTGTGGCCATTTCAAACAACTAAGAATAAGTCGTCACCACCGTTTTTACAGAGTTGTCCGTTGGTGTCCAGGAAGGGTCAGTGCCTGCCCTGTGGATACCCAGGATACCTACCCAACATGTGGGTGCCCAGGGCCCTCGGAGCCTGTGAGGTCTCGTCCCCCGCCGTCCTTTGAACCATTTCTAGATTCCATAGACCTCTCGATGCAGCGTAAGTGCTATATGAATAGGTGTCATATCTATGTAAAGAATTCTGACAAGGGAAAATGTCCATAGAGGATACCGCGCCACTCTGCCCTGGCTGCTCAGAAGTCACTAGAGAGCTGCTAGGAGACACCCTGCCCGACAGCCCAGGCCAGGTGCTCCGAGGGAGCCCACGCCGTGGAAGGCTTCTTACAGGTCCCATGCCAGTATCGTGGGCACACAGACTGCCAGCCCCTACCTGCCATCCGCAGCCCCAGCATTGGCAGTGATCTGAAAACCCAACCTCAGACCTGAGCCCTTCTCTCCCCCATGGGGCAAGAAGCCTCTTCTTCCATAAGCAGCGATGGGTAAATCTCACAGTTAAAGCTCAAGGAACAGCTGTCCATTAAAGTGGCCGCACACAAAGCTGCTCTGTCCATACCAAGCGAATATAAGGGTGTGTGTAAGTAATTCAGCTTTCCAAATACCTTTACCAGACGAGTACAGCCAGACCACTTTTGCTTTTCTTGAAAGTGTGCATAAGGAGCTTCACTCTCTACCTGGCTCTGAGGTGCAGACATGACCCCCAGCAGAGAGACGTGCAGTGTGGGTGCCCCTGTTTGCTAAAGAGAGGGGCTGGCAGCCAGCATCCCCAGCCTAGCATCGTGGGCCAATGTGGACACATCCAAGACCAAAGGCCCTCGGTCTTCAGCTTCACTCTTTCTTATGAAAACATCAGATTGGAAGCAGAACTCAGAAACAAGACGTTAATTCCCTCCCTCTCCCCCCCGCCAAAATGGCCTCATGATTGATTAATTGATTGACTAACTGACTGACCACAATTCCTCACATTCTCTCTTCCAACTCATTGCCTGTGACACGCTGCAGGGTCTTCGCTTTTGACCTTTTAATATAAAAACAAGCATTAAAGTAAGATTTTGGTGACTGTTTTTTTTTTTCTTTGATTTAGAGAAGTGGCAAGAACGTGTAGACAGATTACAAAGTTCACATTTCCTTTTACAAACAACAGAAAAGGGCAACTCACCAAAGTTTCTCACTGACTTCGGGGAATTTTTTCTTTATAAAGCAGGAGAGAGATAAAGAGAAAAAAATTTTTCAGAAAATACGTGGTTGTACGTTCTTCACCACAATACTGATTTGAGGTAGAAGTTCAACCATTAATTTTCGTTTTCAGCAAGACTGTTTTCTTGTGTACAGCGCTGTGAAAATCCGAGATGGAGTCCAAGTTCTAACCACGAAGTAATTATGGGACTTAGAGAAAATTACCTCATATCCGAAATCCTGTTTGCCTCCTGAAAGATGACCTCATAGGATTCTTATGCAGAATAGATTCTTATTAAATTAAATAGTACGTGTAGAGCATCTCCACCGTGCCTGGTAACAAGTACAGATTCAATAAATGTGACTCCCCGGCTGTAGCGGGCCAGATGTCTCCTGGGCAGGTGGGGCTATATTCTCAGCCTCTTCTTCGAACCTATCACATGGAGATGCCATCAGGAAAAAAGTGATTGGAGGAATTTGCACTGGGGAAAAAATGTAGTTATGAAAAGAAAAGAACTAGCAAACCCTAAACCTGCCTGTGTGAAAACAGCATGCAGGCTTCTAAAACGCATCACTCACTTTGGGGAACTAAGCTGTCCGGGTGAGGTACACCCCAAGCCCCCAGTCATCCAAGAGGGCCCATCCTTAAGAACTGAGGCCCAGCCCTTGTGTGGTCGCGACCCTTCAGGTGCATCTTTCTTGCTAACTGTGCGGAAGATTCACCACAAGGGGTGCCTCTGACCAAATTGCTGTGTGCTCCCACTCACATCAGAGCTAGCAAGGGGGGCCCTGTGGTGACCGAGAGGCTGAGCCCTGTGGGACGCCGGGCATCTCTTCCAAAACTCAGCCCACTGGCTTCCTGGC